AAGCAACAACAACAACAACAAAACATCTTTGTAAGTTACTATTAAGTTCAAGGTTCTAATGGGCTGGGCAATCCAATATGGCCTGGACACATGTCTGGGAGTAGGTACTAGAGAGGAAATGTGTTAACTTCTCTTCCTGTGTCCACAAGGGGGAGTGTTCTCAAAGGCCAGAACTTCCCAGTGCCATACCTCCACCTATGTCTCCATCCAGGAGCTTAGTGGTCCTTCACTTTCACGTACTTGGGAAGATAGACTGCCCAGGTGAGCTTCCTTTGTTTAGAAAAGTCTGTAGAGAATCTATGGGAGGACTGTGGGCCAACCAACAAATCAGATGTCAGAAATCAAAGATCAATCACTCCAGCGGAAGTTTAAAGGAACTCCTTTCACAGGACAGAAAACTTGAATGGGGTGGGAATATCTCCCAGGTTAAAAGTCCCATTCTCCCACCTCTGTGTGGACTCCCACTTCTGGCTCCCCTCTCATGACAGCGTGGGAGCTCTCTCTCCCTATTTCTTTCTTCTTTTTGTCTTTCTCTGCCTACATCAATCACTTTCTGCAAAACTCTTTGGGGTCCTATATTTACTTAAATGAGTTCACTGTGCCCAGTGGGGTCCTCTCCCTCATTCTTGGGTGAGTGAGGTACCAAGGGCTTGGAAGAACATATCCTATCAGGGAGCGACCTGTGCCCATCATCCACAATTCGATCACACTAGCTTGTTACCTGCCATGTGCCTTGATATTCTCTGGAAAATAACACTTCCTCCATAACCCAGGTATGGTCTTTATCTATCTGTATATCTGCACATAGCTTTATACTTAATCTATGTACTTTGTACTCCAAAGGTATAAATTATTCTCCTTGTCTTCTGCATATTTCTGACTCCAATTGCTTTGCACAGAAGAATTATTTTCTGCATTTTGTTAGGATGGGTAGCACAGTATAAGTTGCTTCCCTAAGAACAGATCACTCATTCAGCCTGGGTGCATCCATTTAGATTTACATAATATTTTAGCCATACTCTATGTCTTGTCATCATTAGGCTAGGCCTATAATCATTCTCCCCTCTTTAGGTTTAGCCAAAATTTATTTCTCTCTTGTATATATACCAAAACAGGTTCTCTCTTTCTCTCTCCTTCTCTCTCTGTCTCTGTCTGTCTCTCTCTCTGTCTCTGTCTCTCTCTCTCTCTCTCTCAAACACACACACACACACACACACACACACACACACACACACGCTGGCTAATGGGGAAAATCAAAACAAAATTACGATTATGTCCTAGAATTTAAAAATTTTTATCTGATTTTAGGTAAGTCACAGTAAACTCACTAAGACCCATTTAGCTGATATTTAAATCAGAATATTGAAATATCTTTATTTTACTGGATTCTGTGAGACAAGCATCTGAAAAGGGTAAACTTTATAAGCTTTAAGGCTATAAAAGTATAATTTGTATTATATATGGCCATATTTATCTATGAAATATACAATATAAAAATATATATATTTTTTGTAAGAATTTTCTTCCTAATTATAAATAAACAGTTTAAACAGTTTTGTAACTTGGACAGTTCTTTTGGCAATGCAAAGATACATTGTAATTTATAATTTAGTTTGTTAATTTATGTTTACTATTGCTTAATTGATTAGACAGCTGGTAATTTTAGAAGACATTTGGTATATTGTGCATCATTATTATGTCAGGTGTAGCTGGAAATTTTGTGTGTTTGTTTTTATTCATCCTTTTTTGCTTAACTTGAAACAAGAGAATTCTCAAAATTTTTCTCTAATATGTTTGATAATATATCGAAAGGGACATTTATTTCACTTCCTCATGTGCTTTAAGGAGATCTTATTAGAATAACAATACCATTTTTTAGTTCATGCTCTTAACCCCACTGGAGAATGAGTGAAGCATTTGAATTATTTACATCAATAAATGTAAATCAGTCTTTAAGTTGTTGACCACATATTACAATAAGGTATAGTTAATGTATTCAAAACCATATTTTACATTTCTCTTATCCTCCCCCCTTCTGTGTATTACTCCTCTCACTTTCTTGCACTTCCTCTCCTTACTGTCTCTCATTTGCCCCTTGGTATGAAAGCTGACCTTGAGTAAGTCTTTTACTAGGCAGATGAGACTTTCCTTCAGGATATCTTTCCTAACCAGTGTTTATGTCCTGTCATTCAACATTCTCCATTGCACAACTTTTAATAACAAAACTCATATAAATATAAAATGTTCAATTAGTTCTAAAGTCAAAGTATGTATATATAAGAGAGAGGAAAGTGTATAATCAACTAAAATTCAAACTATATGTTAGCCTAGTTGCTAATTGGCAGATAATAAGTAAAGAAATAAATAATAAAATAAACAAATAAAATAAAATCCAACCAAAAGGAGAGACAAAAGCTCTTTCTTACCAATAGAATTACTGATTAGAGACTTCATAGGTTGTAAGGCATTAAAGAATTTTCTCAGAAAACTTCATTTTCTTCTCCTTAGCTATTACTATTTTTATAAAGCACTGATACTTAACATGCCCTAATTTTCTGTCTCTTGAAATGGATGACTCATTCTTTGCTTTTTTTTGGGTGAATATCACTTCTGTTAATGTTGTTTATTTTTTCACATCAAGTGACACATATCTAGTTCACATAAAACTTTTTTTTACACTGAGTTTATTTAGAAGATATGAGAACATAAGAGATCCCAATTAAATCTGAAGTTTATAGAAAAGGTTCTTTAAATTTTAGTTTTTAAATGTCATATAAATTAATGTTTTTTTCATACTGAAAGGTAATAATTAGCCATTAATTAGCTAGTACTTATAGCCAAAAGCTCCACAGATATTCACTCACTTACCCTTAAATATAATATATAGAGGTTAGGCCAGGCACGGTGGCTCAAGCCTGTAATCCCAGCACTTTGGGAGGCCGAGGCAGGTGGATCACAAGGTCAAGAGATCGAGACCATCCTGGTCAACACGGTGAAACCCCGCCTCTACTAAAAATACAAAAAATTAGCTGGGCATGGTGGCGCGTGCCTATAATCCCAGCTACTCAGGAGGCTGAGGCAGGAGAATTGCCTGAACTCAGGAGGCGGAGGTTGCGGTGAGCCGAGATCGCGCCATTGCACTCCAGCCTGGGTAACGAGAGGCGAAACTCCGTCTCAAAAAAAAAAAAAAAATATATATATATATATATATATATAGAGAGAGAGATAGAGGTTACATCTTCTGTCTACATTTAATAGATGAGGAAATTAAAATGCAGACAGGTCTAATGACTTGCTCAAGGATGACATTCAAAAAAAGCAAATCCAGATTCAAAACTGGCATGAATGTAATATCTAAATGTTTTCTCTTCATAGGATAAAAACATTTAGCGGAACAAAATTTAACACATTAAATTAATATAACAAGTCTTTCAAAATAGAAGATAAATTACATTAATAATATGAGTATCTAGTCCAACAAGTAATTTTATTTTGCTTATAAAGTACTTAATGTAAAATAATCTCCTTGAAGCCACAATATTAATTTCCTCAAACAATAGAGCCAGTGGCAAGATACAGTGGCTGAAAATATAATAATTAACAAAATGAAGCCTCGTCCTCACAGTATTCAGATTCTAGAGAAAAGGAACAAAAATAAGCTTATTTTATATCCACATTAGACAATGTCATATAATGTTAAGTATTTTAGAGTAAAGTAAATCAGTGAAATAGATAAAAAAAATAATTGGGATTATTAAAGGATTTGAGGAATCTAGTCATATCAGTTGAGTAAGACTTTCAGGTACATTTGAGGTGAAATTTGAACGATGAGGAGGAACAAATCAAGAAATGATCTGAAGAAGAGAGGGAACAGCAAGTACAAGGACCCCAGAAAAGTAAGAAAGCACAAGGCCAGTGTGCAGTGAGTTTAGTGAACTGGGGTGAGAGTGGCTGGAGATAAGGCTGCAGAAGTAACTTGCTGCAAGACCTACACAAGACCTTGTAGAATGCAAGATGCATGGGTTTATCCTAATTTGAATCTCAAGTCAGAGAATAATAACAAATAGACTTATATTATTTGAGTAGTCCTTTAAGCATGTCTCAATGGCTACGTGTAAAGTCTATACTTGGGTATAAACAAGCATATATAAAGTATATATAAATAATAAATATCAATATAAAAATAAATATAAATAACATATACAAAGGGTAGAAACAAGTTGAAAAATTTGGAATCTATTATAAGAAAGCAAACATTTATCAACTATTGGTTTTCTGAGTCTTTATCTTCATCTCCCTGAGAATTGGGGCAAACCTTGACGGGACACTGTACCATTAGCTTCTCTCTCTTCTCTTTAACATTCTTATTACGTAATAACATAAATATCTCAACATAGGGTGTTTCTTCCCATCTTCCCAAACACTTACAAAATGACTCTAGCTCAGAAATAACGAAATAGTTCAGGGTCCCCAAAATCAGCCATCTGTCCTCAAATTCTAAAATGTACACTGATGAAATCTCATTACAATAGTAAACGAATTTCCTTTTAGCCATGAGAGCATACCCAAACTCTTTCCAATCCAATAAGTTCCTTCCCAGGGGCCTCCCAGCAAGAATGGATTCAACAACTCCCATTTTCAAGCTAAGGCAGTATCAAAAGAGACAAGACAAATATTCAAACAAGTTGAGACAGATTTCAGACAAAAGCAAGGGGGAGTGCACTCAGCCAGAACAGACTCAAAACCAACTCAAAGCCCAATCTTAATAAAATGGAAATCAGGTGTATATGTGAGCCCTACTGCTTCCCTGTTGGTACCACACAAATGGCTTAACCACCCCAGATAGAGAAACAACAGGCTCCCAGAAAATGATCTGGTTTTACTCACCCTTCAAGTGCATCTGCTCCTGATCTCTGTTCTTCCCCAGTAGTGAGAGGATGTGTGATTTTGTGCATGGAACGGCCTTATGAGGGATCCCCAGGAAAATCTCACCTGGCAGCTGCTGGGATCCTCCTGAAGACTGTCTCATCGCAAGCCTCTGGCTGCCGAATGCAGCAGCTGGCTGGCTCACCAAATTTATTCCCGGACCAAACCAAGGTGTGCGCTGCTTATTCTCATGGACCAAGAATGAGATGCAGATGATCTGAGAAAGAAAAGAGTCTTTTTCTGTAACCGGGTACTGGGAGAAAGCCAGGAAAATATTGCCAGACCAACTCAAAATTACAAAGTTTTCCAAAGTTTATATACCTTCTAAGCTGCATGTCTATGTGTAAGTGTGCATTCATCTGAAGACATGAGTGATTAACTTCTAATCTATAACTAAAGTCTGAGTCTTGAAGGCCTTCCTCAGGAGCCTCAGTAAATGTATTTAATCTAAATGGTTCCAGATGCCACCGGTGATCACCCTTATCTTGTCTTTTGTTACATCATGGAGGTTTGGGGAGTTCCTTTACACACCCAATAAAATTTGTTCATGGAGGTCTGGGGAATTCTTCAGACCTGCATTAAAACTTGTTCAATCCTAAAAAGGTTTTGTTAAGAATTTCTTCATTATCTTGTCATGCTTCAAGGCTGAGGAAAGGCTTAGACAAAACTCTTGGTGACCTTTTACATTCCAAAGTTTGTATATGGGCACTGACTCTTTCAGCTTTTAATATTCAACTTCACTCACTCAGTCAGTGCTGAAACAGTTGTCATGGAGGCCTGCCTGTTCAGCTGTTAGTGAGACCTGGCCTACCACAGCCTGGATTTGCCCATACTTCAACTTTGGACTTGTAGCATCCAAAACCATGAGAGAATACATTTCTAATGTTTAAGACCACTCAGTTTGTGGAATCTTATTATGGCAGCCCTGGAAACAGTATATGTTTATATTTTCTCTAATGGGTGAGAGGGAACAGAAAATAAATTGGCATGAGCATACACAGTGACAATCAACTGAGGTCACAGATAAGGATAAGAAGTATAATGAGAACAACCCTAAATAATTAAACTGGCTTCTAATCTGAATTTAGATTAAAAAAAAAATCTTTGTCAGAGAACTCGTATAGAAAGATACAAATTCTACAATAGTAAGATGTTTTTCAAAGCACATCAAAGTGGTAGACATCACAGAATTTATTACTAAGTTTTAGCTGGCAAATCATTATGCAGGGCAAATGAAACAGAACCTCTGTCTTCTTTCTATTACATGTCTCACAAACAGGCACAAAGAATAGCCTCAAAATAATAAAATAATCTTGAGGTGCTACTAAGTAAATACAAGGAGTACCTGTCTCTTAATATGTAACATTCTGCTTACTAAAGTAGAAAACCAGTGCTATTATGTTAAGCAACAGACAGCCTTCTTAAACAGACATCTAAAATTCTAAACACTGCAAAATAATTAACTTATTCAGGTGTTAGTGATGCTATATAGATAAAACTTGTGACTGATGAAAATAATAATTACTACCAAGATGCCTCAAAATGTGTAAGTATGGAATATGTGTGTATAAAACCAATTGTTCAATTTTAGTTTTTGAAAAATACAAAATAGTGGTTGAGTTACATTTTGATTTTATAAAAATAAAAACAAGAAATATTTAGAGTAGCATCAATAGAAATATGACCTTACATTTTTATTCCTAATGCATTTCCACATTATCTTGGGCCTCACGGTAAACTAATGACACATAGTATGCCGATTTTTCATTTATGACAAATGTTTGCAATTTTATTATAAGCATAAATTACAATTCCATCTAAGCTTTTGGAAAAAAATCTTTTAATAAAAAATACTTTTTATTAAAACTCTTACTGAAAAGCACACATTTCATAAGGATACAGGTGGATACATTTTCAGAAAAGTGAATACACCTATGTATACACAATGTATAATAGAATATCAAAAAAATTATAGTATAAAATAAAAATTAAAATGTATGGTATAGAATATTGTTTTGTTACATTTAGTTCAAGATATAAAATACATTTTGTTATAAAAATATATTTTAAAATTGTATTTGCTGTTTTTTGGTAAAATTAAGTTTTGAAAATTAATCTTGTATACAGAAATTTTGATAAAATTAGTTATCAGTTCTAAGAGTCTGTCCATAGATTCTTTTGGATTTCCTGCAGTATGCATAATTCCTGTATCTTTTCTAAACACTATTTTGGAAATTAGTCTCTGAGAGTATGTTCAAAAAATTTTCCGATTTATTAATTCATTAAAGTGGATTTAAAGAGTAGAGGATCAGACTAGTATTAGACTTTAAAAAGGACATTTCCAAGTGGATACATGTTCCAGAAAAAAAATAAAAACACTGTTTATAGACAGAGAAGTGAAAATGGACAGTAACATGTTAAAATTATTCTCAGAAAAAAAATGTCCATACTTTCAGTTTATCCAAAGCCTTTTATTTCAAATGAATAAATATTCAGAAGTGATGGTCATGTATTAATAAAACCTAAAAAGAAGATATTGCACTTAATACATGTGAACAAAAATGGTGAGATTTTGTAAATAGTGTTTTCAAATCATAAAGAGAAAAGAAACATTCCAATAAAAAATGCAACAAACCACTTAGAATAATATCCATTTTTCTAATAACATGGAAAATTGTTAAAATTCAATGGAGAAAAATGTTAAGATTCAAAATTACTTAAAAATTAAAGCAATTATGAAATTTAATTTTTTATGGAGGTAACAAAGATTATCTTTCACCTATTAATTTATAATCATACACCATTAAATTCTTGTCGTGCAGTTGTGACTATGATTTTGCCTACAATTTTGAGCTTACTTTGTCAATATCAAAATAAATAATAAAACATACATGTTTTTGCCCAAAATTTAATTTTAGGAATTTATTCTATAAAATAAGTGAGAAAAAAATGTTATGCATTATTTATAAGAATGAAAATGTGTAAATACATGTATTTTTAATAGCTAGATTAAATTAGAATAAAACCACAGGAAGTAAAAATATGTGGTTAGTTAAGCCATGTTTTATAAGCATTTTGATGATGTGAGGAAATTTTTAAATGGAGAGAGAGACAGAGGGGAGAGATAAATTATTGAAAAAATTCCAATTTAATGAGACTAGAGTAAGACACTAGAGATCTAAATCTAAGTGCAAACAATGTCTTGGAACATTATGTGTAAATTTAATTTCCTTATACTTTTAAATGGTTTTCTAAAATGAATATGCATATCATGTTATACACAATAAATTATCATTTTAAAAAGTGAAACACTGCTAAAGAGATTTTCCTTGTCAAATTTCATTTTGTTTGCTTTCTGGATTACTTTCTAATTAAGGCTTTTATTTTATCTCTTCACATATCAACTATAAAGCATGAAATATTGTGTGGAAAAAAAATGCAACCCAAAGCCTCTATATTTTAACATAATTAACTATTTAGAATAATCAAACTTAAACTTCTTCTTTTTAGGAAACAGAGAGAAAAAAAATAAAATCCCAGGAATATATATTAATGAGATGGTTTATATTTCTGACTGAGAACACAGGCTGGGTTTCATAAGTCTCTTGTGTAAAGAAATCCTTTTTATTCAGGTTATTTGATTCCTTTTTGCTCTTTCAATCATATAAGCAAAATCTTCCCATCAAACAATGCCATTCCTGCCAGTTTATACTAATCAAATGAGTAGCTGATCTGTATGTTACACCACAGGGAGTTTTCTTCTTGGTTCCTTTTATTTCTTGCAATAGAATTGAGGATTTTGTAAGGCATTTCAATCAGGTATTTGCTGCCTTGGCTCTCATATTAACTATTTTATATAAAGCATATTTACTGAGGAGTTATAAATGGCATTCTGCTACGTTACTGGAAAAAAAAAAAGACATTTTCAAACATTTCCAACAGAGAGCAGAAATCAGAATAGGGATGAATAAATAACACTGGATGCTTAAAAATCAATATTTTAGAAAAGACTTTTGGTTTGAATTTTTATATTCTGAATTTTCCCTAGCAGATAACCACTTCCTTGTTTATTTACTATAAACTGTCATAATGAAACCATCATTTCATTGCAATTTGCAAAGCAGATAAATCACAGAGATGATGTTTAAATTCTGCTAACATTCTGTGTCTACAAAATAATTTAGTGACTTTTTTCTTTTTTTTGAGTCAGGGTCACTCTGCTGCCCAGGTTGAAGTGCAGTGGCATGCTAGTGCTCATAGCTCACTGCAACCTTAAACCCCTGGGTACAAGCGATCCTTCCCCCTCAGCCTCCTCAGTAACTAAGACTACAGGTACACATCACCATAACTGCTAATTTTTGAATTTTTCTTTTTGGCAAGGCAAGGTCTTGCTATGTTTCCCAAGCTGACCTCAAACTCCTGAACTAAAGTGATCCTCCTGCCTTAGCCTCCCAAAGTGCTGGCATTACAAGACTGAGCCACTGGGCCTGTCCCTTACTATTAAAATACTATACATTTATCCAAAGCCAATAAAACATTTTTGTTTATCAATTACATTTTTATGCATTCTCCATCACTTTTGGGTTTGAAAATTAAATATGGTGAAATAATTTTTGATAAAATCTAAAGTTAATATGTTAAAAGCAATGAATATATTCCTTAATAAGTTCTAAATTTCTTGCTAAATTATGCCATTTTAGTAATGAAATAGATAACTAAACTAGATCATATAATAAACTATTAAATCTCTGGGTTTTGAGAAAATTCCAACAATTTGTGTGAAAGAATATATGAAACTTATGTATATGAAATGTTATAGAAGCAAGTTTGCATATATTACCAGATATTCTCTTTCTGAAAATTCTGTTTTGCTTATCAGGAATAACTTAACTGTGTAATCTGCTCTAAGTTTGCTAAAGGTACATTACAGCTAAATTTCTGAGCCATAGAAAATAAACGAGCCACAGGCCTCAAATATATGCATTTAATCTTTATTTTCATTCACTTTCATATCTTACTCCCTCTTTCAAGGCCTATTTCTAGTTTACCTTATCTTGTTTTATTTTGTTTCCTTAGAAATTTTCAAAAATGCATTTGAAAACAGGCCAGATATAATTGACTACATATTTAAATATTTAATTTTTCCCTATTGATGGGAAAATGTGCAAACATACAAAGCAATTGTAAAATATCATTCTAAAATATTAAATTTCAGAG